TTGCCTCCTAGTGGCGGTCCACTACACTACAGCTCAGGAATTACGCAAACCAAAATGTCGGCACCCATAACATAACATTCAGGAACTTATGTTTGTTTATATCAGTGATATTTCATTGTTAGCGGAATGTGAAGAAGGCATCGTTCTCGGTCCGGGCGTCGTCATCCCAGGTCGCACCTCCCTCATTTGATGCCATTTGTTGTTAATAGGCTGAGAGGAAGTTCGTGTTGCGAACAGTTACAAATCCGGACACGGTGGAAAACCCGCGAAATGAGTCAGCTGACCGTAAGATGACGGCCTGCTCTTGCACTCTTTGTTATCAGAGAACCGAGCTGGAACTGAACCGCTCCGAGTCCTAATGATGACCTGGTACCATGCTAGCGCGGTTCGTTAGGTCTGGTAGGGTCCGGTTCAGCTGCGATTTATTTACAGGCGACAGTTACCTTGGTTACCATGCTCGGATCGTTCTCGGCACGGTTTCTAAAGGCTAGCGTAAATAGGGTGTTAAGTTGCAAGAATTCAGTTCACACAAGAGATCGCATTTATTAGGAAATAACCACGCAGAAGAATCCGATTTCACAGAAAGATTATTGAGCATGAAGGTCTGCAGCGTGAACGTAGCCTCTTCGTTCTTTACGAATCGCTCTGGCAACTAACTCACCTTCAGTATCGCTGTTTCTAAACACGGATAGAAAAATTCTCATATCCGTAAATATGGCCGTATCTCCTGATCGCATTCTGGAGGCTAGGACACTTACCTGCTCAAATAAAGGCAAAATACGCTGAATTTCTTTACTCATGTTTAGATCAATTTTCACAGATAAAATTGTTCCCAGGAGAAACTCCTCTTGGTCTCATCAGGTTTATTTAGGACTCATCGTTTGTCAGCAGGCGAGCATCAGGGAACGTTTCGCTACATTTAACAAACGACTGAAAGTAAACAGAGAAGATCTGTCATATCTAAGGCCGGTTTAAACATTTATTAGCATTTCCTCCATAAAATTAGCTCTTTCACACAGATCATAAATAAAAGATTCCCAACATAATCACAGACGGAAACCTCTCAGCATTCCGAACGTCTCCCGTCTATAAAGGAAGGAACCCAGGAAGTCTTTAATGTCTGCAGGACGCTTCGCTCCACCATCACCTCTGGACGCGCTACCAGAGCATCCCACGGCTTGAAGTTCCGACCGGTGTCCTGGAGCGGCGGCTACGGCACCGAGGAGCAGCGGTGACTCTTATACGTCCCTAGATGGCGGAAGCAGCGTCCGCATTGCTGGCAGCAGTAGGGTGTGGCGCCGCTGTGGATCCGCTGGTGGGTGTACAGGTTCCCCAGCTCCTTAAAGCAGCGGCCGCACTCGGGACAGGCGTACGGACTCTCCCCGGTGTGCACCCGCTGGTGCCTTTTGAGGCCGGAGAGCACGGAGAAACCTTTCCCACACTGCGGACAGGGGAAGGGGCTCTGGGCGCCGCTGTGGACCAGCCTGTGACTTTTCAAGCGAGCAGCGTGGCGAAACCTCTCGCCACATTCCGGACAGGCGAACGGTTTCTCTCCGGTGTGGATGCGCTGGTGCTGCCGCAGGTTGCCCAGGTAGTTAAAATGGCGGCCGCAGTCCCCGCATTGGTAACCGCCCTCCGTTTTGATCTCCTTCTTCACGCCGGGACCCCTGCTGGCAGCGGCGCTGAACCCCGGGTTGACCTCACTCATCCTGATCCCTGCAGGGTCCCCGCTGCCGTCCTCCACCGCAGGCTCAGCGAATGACAGGAACTGGGGGCCCCTGGGGGCCTGGGCTTCATCGGCGTCTTGGTGCATCAGTTTAATATGATCCTCCAGAAACACGGAGTCTGGGCAGAAGGTTCCACACAGCGAGCAGATGTAGGGGTGACCTGGAAGGAGCAGATTTGACTGAATTTAAACAGTAGAAGAAGAAAACCTTCATTTATTGTTACCATAAAAGCTTTGGATGATCTTTCAGATGCTGTAGAAAACTTTATTTTCCTTTTTCAGCTTTAGATTTCTAGATTAATTTAATAGAATAAAACCTTAAAATAAAAAATAAAGGAGTCATAATTCTGTGTTTTATATAAACAATCCTCCTGAAAATGTTCTTTAAATTCATGTTTTATATTTTTAAGAACAAAAAAATGATGAAGTTGAGATAATTAAGACCAGTTTTAACCCTTATATTTATATTTATTTATAAACATTTATCAAACGTACACATTGTGCACACCGTCATATATGGAGGGAATTTTGTTCCATTATTGTTTTATAGAAAAGTTGAAATAGATGCCATTTTTTCTTCTTTGTTTTCTTCTTTTGTTTCCCTGATGATCAGCTAACCGGGCAGCATGATGATCATGATGAAAGCTGGCGGCCATCTTGGATGGTCTCTGATTAAAACCTGCTAAAGACATTTTTATTTTCTTCAGCAGGTTTGATTGTTTTTGGTTCTGTGATGTCATTCTGCTTTAGAAATGCTGTTTTACTCACTTTATTTATCGTTACGTAACAATAATTTTCACATTATTATTATCTTAATCAATGTTAGCGAGGTGAGAATCTAATTCCTCAGAATTTATGAATCTAAGGAAATGAATTTTATGAAATGAATTTCCTTTTTTTAAACATTTTCTCAGCTTTCAGGGAAACCTGACTCCTGCTCTCTGGTTCTAATCCCACCAATCAGAGCGCGTTCGTCCTCACCTGTCTCAGGTGCGTCCAGGTGGCCCTCTGAGGCGCTCTCCTCCATCCCTGGGGAGCTCTGCTCTCTGCTGGGGCCCTCAGAGATCTTCCTCCCCCCACCTTCCTCCCTCCTGCACAGCTCTTCCTCACCCTCCTCCTCCTCCTCCAGCTCAGCGCTCTGCGAGTTTTCACCTTCAGGCGGCTTCATGTCTGCCGGGAGAGGAGAGAGGTCAAAGGTGAACGACTGTTTCTACAGCAGGGGCCCCAAACACAACCAGCCTGGGGGCCCCTAGAAATACAGCCTTTACTCTGGCTTTATCTACACAATGAAAGTCATTATTTCTACGAAATGTTTTCAGAACTTTCAGTTAAATTCAGTCATTTAAACATTTTTTTATTTAATAGAATATTTAAATATTTCATTGATCATTTATAATTTAACTTGATTAAAGTTCCAAAACTTTCCAGGACCATGAAGATCGCCTCCTGTTACCGCGGCAACGATCATCCGTTACCATGGCGATGAGTCATCAGCTTTAACGCAGTAAAAACCGTCAGCCAGAATGTTCTGATTGGTCCCCGTCTATGAATGATAGATCTAGATCTATGCTCAGCATCTTTTATATTCAGTTCTTCTTCTGGTTTATTCAACAAATGAGTTTAATAATGTTTAGAAAAAAGTTCTTTGTTCTTAAGGTATTTAATGCAGCTGAAACAGTAAATGTTTAAAATAGAAATATGAGAGCTGCTCTAGATCCAATATCTAGAGCATCCAGCCCACGGCGCCCCCTGCTGGAATCTAAACCCCAGCATATTTATGACCTCCTAACAGGACGGGAGAATAAAACGGGATTAAAATGATCGAACAGCGAAATGATTCATGTTTTAGGTCCTTTGAAAAACCTGCTGCCTAAAAATGTTTAAAAAGCTGCTATAGGAAAAAAAAAAAAAGTAGCCACCTTAGAAAAAAAAAAAGTTAAAAAACAGCCGACGCACAAAAAAATAAAAGGAATAAAAAATAAGGAGAGATGGGCAGGTGGATTGGTGCGGCGTCTGCTGTGAGGCGTGCGCTGTCTGTGGTTCAGAGAGAGCTGAGCCAAAAAGCAAAGCTCTCTCTTCACCGGTGGATCTACGTTCCTCCCCTCATCTATGTTTAGGAGCTTTGAACTATAGAGAAAGG